AAAAGGATCGATAGCGTACGCTCAATAGAGACCAACACTTGAATAAGTGAATAGTTGAAGTACTAAATAGATACTTACGTAATATGCATGTACAGAGTAACGGTTCGGCGTATCCACGAGCAATGCATGAGTAACCAGATATAAACTAATACATACAATGAAGTTGTCGCAGCGAATTTGGTTGAAAGGCTAAGAGTTGTATACTTGAATATATTATATATTTGATACATACATACATACATACATACATATATGCACATGTACATGTGTACACTGTACTTAGATTTTCATACATGCAAGCTAAACTCAATGGGATTTATGTATGCTGCTGAATGAAAGGAAAAAATGAAGGAAAAGGAAAAAATATAAATTTTCCTTGCTTGTCTGCTACAGCGATTTTCCGCTTTCTGCGGTTCCTGTGGCATCAGCTTTGAGAAATATTTGTGGTTACAATTCGGCCATAAGTGAAATTCAATTAAGTTTAAGCGTTTTGTGGCACACCCACTATAAACACGCCACTATTATGGGGTTTTGGCGTGTCTTAAAGCTGTGACCCTCTTGTAGTTTGATTGAAAAGACACTACGTTATTAGCTTCAAACATTTTGTCAATTCCTGCATTTGCTTTAGTTTGTAAAATAGCTTGCGAATGTAAGATTATCACAAACCTCGAATTTATGTTGCTGCTTTAAATTGGAAAATAAGTGTATAAACATATTTTTTTTTATAAAATTGTGTAGCATTTTTATTGAAAATTAGAATTATAATTGGAGTGCCTACCGATGGTGAGACAATGATGTGCTGCAACAAACTTCTGTGATTTTTTAATGAGTCTGATTAAATTCATTTGCCTCAAAATCAGCCCTATCGGATGGGCTATCAAGAAATATGGAATAAAATAAAATAATATAAAATAAAATAAAATAAAATAAAATAAAATAAAATAAAATAAAATAAAATAAAAAAAAATGAAATAAAATGAAATAAAATGAAATGAAATGAAATGAAATAAAATAAAGCAAAATTAAATAGATTAAAATAAAATAAATTTAAAAAGATAAAATGAATTAAAAAAAAATAAAATTACATTAAATGAAATTAAGTATATTAAAATAAAATAGAATAAAATTAAATTAAATATAATGAAAAATTATATAATATAAAATAAAATAAAATATTAATTATTGTATTTGAAAAAAATATAATATTATAAATACACAAAGAAACAAAATAATTAAAAAATAAATAAAAAATAAATATAAATAAGCTAAAATAAATTATATATATCAAAAGAAAATGAGATGAAATTGATTACAATAAAATTTATCAACTACAAAATGAGATTTCTACTTTTTTTTTTGGCTGTTTACCTTTTCAAAATGTTCGAAATAAATAATAAATTGCAAATGCAATTTTCAACTAAGAACACAAATAAATACAATAAAATATTATGAAAATGTTACTAGATTTAAAACGAAAAAGATACAATAGAAACGAAAATTGTAAGGGATTTGATTCGCAATAGGATTTCACAGAGTAGGATTTCATTTGTACTTTACTATAATATTTTATTATAACACACACACATGCACACGTACAATGAAATTTATACAGCAACCGCTACCGTTGTACATTTGTACACAAGTGTGCATGACACGTACCTAGATGTTCTGGCTATGCTTTGTGCTCCAGGGCGTATGAGTAACTTTTCACATGTCAAACCCGTCGTGTGGCGCTTGTCCCAACTGCGGGTGTTACACTACACACAGTACAGCACAACACAACACAATATATTGTATTGCATAAATGTACATATATATATATATATATTTATATATATTTGTATATATTGTTGGTGTTTGCTTACGGCAATTGTCACATTAAAGGCTTCAAGGCTATTTCAATGTACTAAATATACATATTCTTGATATACGTTGTTATTATATATTTTTTAATACATTTGTATGTTGGTAAACAACACAAAGAAGCAGTTGCGACAAACAAGTTAAAGAAAGTAAGAAAGAAAGGAAAACTAAAGTGAAAAATTACTTACAGCAACGTTTGTGTTCGCTTGCATATACATGCATATAAACATAAGTTAAAGTACAATGTATACAACTGTACCTATAAACAAAATTAAAAATAAGTGGAAAAAATCGCTCTGTGTCCATTGCACACTTACCACAATTGTACACTTGAATTGAAAATTATACGCGCTGAAGCATTTGTATAATTTTCTTCTCAACTTTTTCTTGTTCTTGTGGTATTTTTTTTTAATAAAATTTCTTTTTTTAGTTTTTCATACATATATACATACATGCATAATTTCATCAAGCATTCTAGTTAGCCATTGTGCCAGTCTTACTTTACGAGTATTTTGCTCACTCCTATTCTTTTCATTGTTTATTATATTATACTTTTTCTACTTATTTTCATACAAACATACATGAATATATTCCCTTTCAGTGTTTGTGGTTAGCATTTAATTTTCTTCAGCGGAAAAATAAATGCTGTGGCTTAGCTTCCGTTTCCGTTGCAGTAGAATAAAATAAATAAATGTAATGAAATATAAAAAGAAGTAAGAAGTAAAATAAAAAATAAAATGAAATAAAGTCAAATAAAATAACTAAAATTTAATTTAATAGAATAAATACAGTAATAAATAAAAAAAAAACAAAAAAAAATAAATAGTACAAAACTAGTTAATGAAAAATCATAAAAAATAAAATAACATAAGAAATTTAAATAAAAAATATATATAAAGTAGGGTAGCATAAAACTAAATAAATTTTTTTTAAATTAAATTAATTGAAAACAACAAAATCAAATATACCAAAATAAAATAAACTTAACCGAGTTATAAACTACAACTAAATTTAAAGAGAGTAGAACCAAATGAAATTAAATGAAATAAAATTCAATTGAACAAAAGAAAATCAATAAAAAAAAAAATAAAAAAAATTATAAAGCAAATTAAAATAAATTCAAATGAAAAACAATAAAGTAAAATGGGGTTGAATAAATTAAATTAAAATTAATTTCAATAAGATACAACAAAATAAATCAAAAAATAAAAAATTTTAGATATTAAAATATAAAATGTATTTAAGTTAAATAACATAAAATAAAGCAGAATAAATATCACAAGAATATAATAAATAATAATAAGATTATAATATATAAAAAAAAAACAAAATACAATAGAATTAAATTATATTAATAGAAACAAAATTTAATGAAATAAAATAAACACAATAAAATATACAAAATAAATATATCGAACAAATTCAAATAAATTCAAATGAAAAACAATAAAATAAAATAGTGTAGAATAAATTAAATAAAAATTAATTTCATAATTTTAATAAGATTCAACAAAATAAATCAAAAATAAAAATAAAAATTAGTAGAAATTAAAGAAAAAAAATAGACTTAAGTTTAATAACATAAAAAAAAGCAGAATAAATATGACGAGATAAAGTAAATAATAAAATCATATAATAAATATAATAGAATTAAATTATATAAATAAACACAAAATTTAATTAAAAAAAATAAATACATAATTTAATTAAAAAATAATAAAATTTATAAAGTAATTTAATTATAAAAAATTAAATTATAAAAAATAAATAAATAAAATAAAAATCAAACAAAAAAATAACATAAAAAAAAAAAAAAATCGATAGAATCTAATAAAATATAAAATTATTAAAAATTAAACAACATAAACTAAAATAATTGAAAGTAATTTATGTTAAAAAAATTACAGAAAAATAAAATATTAAAAACTAAATAAACTAAAAAATAAATATTAATATAAATAAATTTTTAATAAAAAAATAAACAAAATAGATTAGTTCATATAATTTGAAAAATATTAAAAAATTAAGTAAATAAAATACCTAAAAATATAAAAATGTATTATATATAATAACTAATAAAAAAATAAAAATAATAATAAAAATAAAATAAAAGAGAATTTAAAATAGAATAAAACAATCCAAAAGTAAATAATGTAAAATAAATTAAAAACGAATTTAAAATAGAATAAAACAATCCAAAAGTAAATAATGTAAAATAAAAGAAATTAACATGAAATAAGAGAAACTAAACTAAAATGAAAGTAAAAAAAAAATTTTACAAATCGAAATAAAAAGAAATCGAATTGTAATAGAAAGAAATAAGTATAAAAAATAAAATTAAAAAAAAATAATAATTATCTAAAATAAAATAAGAAATTAAATAAAAATCAGCTGATATAAAACAAAATAAAAAAGCGGCCGCGGTAGCCGAGTGGTTGACATTGCGTACTGACATTGGGAAGGCTCGGGTTGATATCCCGATGCCACCAACATACAAAAGTTATGAAAAATTAATTTAAATAAAAAATTAAGTTAAATTTTCTAATTGCGGTCGCCCCTCGGCAGGGAATACCCACCCCTACGAGTGTATTTCGGACTTTATTTCATGTAAAAAAAACCATCAGCCATTCGAAGGCGACTTAGTAGAAAGTAAATTGTAGATCCCCCCATTTTTTTCGAAAAATATCAAGACGTAAAACCACAAATTGGAGGAGGAGCACGGCCGAAAAATCGCTTCAGCGGTTACAAAGTGCCAATTATATATATATATATATATATATATATATATATATGTATATAAGGAAATAAAAAATTAAATAACCTTAAACAAAATAAAATATAATAAAATAAGTATGTAAAATAGAAAAATAAATATAAAATATAGTTTAGTAAAATATAATAAAAATAAAAGAATATTAAATATAATACAACATAATATTAGTAAATAAATAAAAAAAATTTTTTTTCAAATATTTAATAAGACTTGAAACTTAGCACAAGGGACCAAATCTTGCCATAAAATGAGCATTTGATTTATCAGATCTTAATTATTTAATTCTATTTTTATATACAGATCGTATAATACTTTTTGTTGTTATTTCCACTAGTCATTCATACCTCATTTATCTCTCTTCCAGCTGGCGTTTTAATCAACATTGAATGCAAAGCCTGGGCACGCAATATTTTCCACGATCGCCACGAAAGGAGAGGATCCGTCCACTTCGAATTGATGGTTGATTAAGAGACGGCGCGTAGCCAATAAATAAGTGAACGAAGCACATAAATACATAAAATAACTTAAATAAAAAAATAATAACCAAAAAAAGAAAATACAAAATCTATAAAAAAAAAATAATAATAACAAAAAATTAAGCAGAAATTATTTAGCAAAGAAAAATAATAATGAAAGCCGTTAATATAAAGAAAATTACAGAAAAATGAAAACAAAATTATAACTGCAGAAAATTGTGAGTAAAACAACAAGAAAATAGTAGCAAAATTAAGTAAAGAAACATGCAAACGGAAAGCAGGCAGGAAGAAGAGTTGTGAGAGTGAGGGCAGCAAATGAGAGTAAAAAAAATCTCAAGAGGCAGTAAGATGAGGAGCATACGTAAGAAAGAAAGGCGTGCAAAACGTGTATGGGAAAAATAACAAAAACGAATGCATGAAAATACAGCAACAACCAAAGAATAAGAACAACAAGCCGATGAAAATGAAAATTCAATAAAAAGCGCTAAAAGTAAAAGATTATAATAAAAACGTTAAAAAAATTAAATGAAGAAAAATATATACATATAAAAAAAAATGAAACAAGAAATGCGCAAAAGGAAAAAAATGCTAAGTATTTATTTTGCGAACGAATATAATAAAACTAAAACTACCAAACTTAAGAGTGCATAATTAAATGAAACTGCAGCAACACAGCAAAAAAAAATATGAATAAATAAATAGAGCGAGTGCAACCCAAAATACAAATAAACAAATAAATAAATAATTATAATACATAATTTGTTAGATAAAGCGTAACAAGGCATTATTAAATACATATGTACATACGTACTCGTATATATATATATACACAATATTTTGATTTTTGAAGAAGAAAAAAATAGTAAAAAGGCAAAAACACAAAAAAAAAATACTAAATTTAAAAAAAATAAAATGAAAATTTAATGGTAAAACTGCAACAAACACAAAATTGTTATTTCTTTTTTTTTTGTAATTAATTTTATTTTGCGTGAGATGAAAGAAAATACTTTTAAACAAATACAATTTATGGTATTATGTACCAAAAAAAAAAAAACAAAAACCAAAAACAAAAAAATGTATGTATGTAGTTACACAAAAACAAAAAAAAAAAAAGAAATCAAATAATAAAATAAAAATAAACAAAAATTTGCTTTAAATAAAGCGTACAATTTGCGCTTACAATTTTGATAATAACACAAAACGCTTCTTATTTCGTACTTATTTCCCTACTTTAAAACGCTTACTTGAAAACAAATGATGAGTGGTAGAATAATTATGATTAATGAGAAAAGAGAGTTTTTTGAAAATTAGTAGAATTTAATTATGGAAATTACTTATTAGAATTTGTTGATATTTTTGAATAGTGTATGCAAGTTTAATAAATAATAATTATAATTATTATGATTAATTAATAAAAAAAAAAAAACAACTTTAAAATTAAATAAATGAGCATAAATAACGAAAACCAGCGCAGCGAAAAAGAAACAACAACAGAACAAACAACACACGCAAAACTAAATAGACATGGCAAACAACAACAACAACAATAAGCCAACTACTTACACTAAGCTCTTGTTAAACTATGAGATTTAAAAAAAAATATATTTTTTCCTTTGTTCAACGGCTTGTAAGTATGTATGTAAAATGCAAAATAAGAAAGAGAAAATTTGTAATATGCCAGAGATAGATAAAATAGCAAAAGAAATAAAAGAAAAAAATTACATTTCTTTTGTCTACCAAAAAAAAAAAAAAATTACAACAAAATAAAGTCAGTCAAATATTTATGTATAAAAAATGTCAGCGCGTTGAGGCGCAGGAAAATAAATTATATTTTGGAAACCCAATTTTCATGCAAAGATAACAGCCGAGAACAACAGTTTATTTGCTTTAAACACAAAAACCTTATCGAATATTATATGTATGTACAATATATGCTATATGTATGTATATACTATATATTAAGTTTGCTGTTAAAATTATAAATAATGCAAATCACGTTCATATATATACATATATACATACAGCTAACCAAAAACACACTCATTTAGGTACACCAACCGACACAAACATAACCTTATGTACATTACGCTGCGTAAGCTGTTTTCACACCGACAGCGAACATTAAAAGTTATATAATAAATAAATTATTATTAAAATTTAAAATGAAAAAAAAAAAAAAATAAATAAATTTGTTATTAAAATTTAAGCGCCCTCCCCATTGAAAAAAAAACATATAAATAAAATAAATCTTTAACAAGCATTATATAATTTTTAGTAAAATTTAAATAAAAATATTAAGCAAAAATATATATAAAAAATGATAGTAAAAATATTATAAATTAACATAAATTAAAAAGCATGAAAATAAGTCAAATGATATTTAATTGTAGATTTTTAAAAGAAAATTTATAAAAAAAAAACACCATAATTGTAATAAATTATATAAATAGAAAAATTAAAATAAAAAATACAGCACAGACAGCAAAATAAAAAAAGGATAATTATAAATAAAATAACAAATAATGCAAAATAAAGCGGCTTAAATTCAAAAAAAAATAATAATAAACACAAAAACTAATTAAGTAAAAATAAAAACAGCTAAATAACAAAAATCAAATAAATAAAAACTTATATATAATACAGTAAAATAACGAAAAAAAATTAATGAAAATAAAAATTAACTTAAAAAATTAGTTAAAACTACCTACTCTTATTATAATAGCAAAAATTAACAAGAAAAAAAAAAACAAGTGGCTAAAATCAATAGCAAATAGTTAAAATTAAGTGCAAAAATAAAAATAAAGTTAAAATATTTATGAATAAAACATAGAGCAGAACAAATATAAACAGTTAAGTATTAAATAAAATTTAAAAAATTACATACATACATACAAAAAAAGCGAGAAATTCATGCAAAACGTACACAGTAAATAACAACTACAAATTATTTGAGTATTAAATTTTTATAAGTTGTATTTCTGCATAAAAAAATTATTTAAATTATTTTATGTTATTTAAATTTTCTTAACAACCTAACTATTTATTTTTTGTTATATAAATCGTTAACTAGCAAAGAATCTCCACACTGTCATACTATACTAATTGTAAACACACATTTCTGCGCATACATTACCACAAACATTAATTGCAAAAATTTTAGCTGCATATCTGGTATTTGGTTATATAAAAAAATTATTAAAAAAAACTATTTTAGTTTAAAAAAAAACTTCATTTAATTAGAAAAACATTTTAATTTAATATATATATTTTATATAAAAATAACAAATTAATTGAAAACATTTCAAAATAATAAATTAAATCTTTTAATTAAAAATAATAAATTAATTGAAAACAAGTATTTTATTTCAAAATAATAAATTAAATCTTTTAATTAAAAATAATAAATTAATTGAAAATTTAAAAAAAGCTATTTAAATTTGAAAGTTAAGTGCAGTTGATTTAATTAAAAAAAAATTTTAATTAAAAATTTAAAAAAAAAATTTTAATTGAAAATTATTTTAATTAAAAATATTAACTTGTTTGAAAGTTTTAATAAGCTAATTTAATACAAAAATTACATTAAAAAATCAATAAAAACCAAATTAAAAATAATTTAATTAAAAAAGTTAATTTCTTAATATAATTTAAAAAAAATTAATTAAAAAAATTGTTACATTTTTAGTTTAGTCAAATTTTTTGTGTAGAAAAATATGTGTTTATATAAAAAATACATTTTTTTATTTAATATGCTTTATTTAACTTTTTTTCATTCATAATTTCAATTTTTCTTTTAAAATTATTTTCATTCATATCTAAGCATACTTCCAACACTGTAGCAAGGATATGCACCAATTTGTGCTCATGTTTGCTAATATTAGCTCAGACAGCAACCCATTACATGGCTACGGCTACATGGCATCTTTTCTTCTCTCTCTCTCACTCTCTCTCTCTCACTCTCTTACTCTCTCTCTTTCGCTCATAAGTCTAGCGTAAACGAAACAAAAAAGTTCCTTATATTTTTTCGCAATTTTTTATTAATAATTTACTTTTAGCGCTTGCTTAAGCACGTTCTACCCACCCAGAATAAATTAAAAAAAGAAGAAAACTAAAAAATCAGTACTAAAGCGTCTAAATTTCGAAATTTTTGTAAAAAAAAGTTATATACACCTAATTAGTATAGTAAATGCCCACCAGCTAGAAGACAACAATGAAAGCAAAAACACAATTAAAATAGTATACAATAAATTATGAATTACATACAATACGTATTTGTTAAAGAATATCATGGAAGGGGCAACAAAGTTGTGCAACTTTCATAACTCAAAATTGTATTAAGCTCAAACGAACAACACGCTGCCCAATAAATATTTAACTATTTATTTCTTTTGTTTTTTATTTGATTTTAATATATTTTTTTTCATATTTTGCAAGACCGCCGCGATTCGCTCTCTGTCTTGAGCTAAGACATAAACCTTTGAGTTTATTTTTCACGCATGACATACTCGCGCACTCTCACACCATTTAGTCAACATATGACGGTAATAAACACTCAGCTACACACTCACAGTAAATCATGCATATGTATTTTGAAATGAAAAATAAAAATGAACAAAACAAACAAAATTCATTGAACATCATCATTAGAAGGAAGAGCGTATTGCAAATACAGAAAATGCAATACAATTTTATTAAAGAGAAGAAAAATAAATAATTAAGAAAAATTAAAAAAAATTACATTAAAAAATAAATAATAATAAATCAACATATGTAAGCTGTGTGTAATTTCGTATATAGTCTTAAAGAGAGCAGAAAATAAAATATGAATAAATATATCTATGTATGTATATGATTTGTATGAAAGCAGTAAGCAGCATAAAGAAAGCTAAAAATAAAATGTAATAAATAAATTAAGTAAATATGCATATGTATGTATACATATGTATGCAATGGGCTTTTCACGCTGTGCTGGTTGTTTGACATACACAGACACACACACACACATACACACAAGCGCACGTAAATGTAATGTTACGTAATACATATAACGTAACGCAAGAGTTAAGTGCCGCGCAGCGTTATTAACTGCAAATTTAAACTGCCTAATCAACCATAAATGTATGTATGTATGTAATACGAGTATACGTATGTATGTATGTATGTAACGCTTTCGCACGCATGCTCTCTCACTCCTCACAAGAAACAAATAAAAAATAAATAAATAAATAAACAAATAATTTTCCTTAACAAATTTATCGATTTTTTGTTTTTGTATTAAAATTTTTTTTTAATTTTTTTAAGAATTGTGACGATAAACTGACGCAACGTAACGGTAGTAAGAAGAGAAAAATAGCGTGGAAAAGTAAAGCTGAATACAAAGCGGTATATTAGCGTGGACGCAAACCATATTAAAACTGTCTGCAATTCTTTCCAACAGTGTTGCCAGAAGGTTTTTTGAGCGTAGGAGTCAAAAAAGAAGTTGAAGAAGTTGCAATGAATATATTATTTATTTTTCTGCTTTTTATTATTATTTTTTGGCCACGCAGCGTGAAAATGGCTTTGTAGAAGACATAACTAAAATATATATAATTTTATTTAAAATAACAATAAAATAATTCAAAATTATTATTTATATACATGGGGAAAGAAAATAAAACATTAAAACCGTCTCATTTGTAAACAATGTAATAATATTATTTTCCAAAAAACAAATAACAAAGAGTGCGGTGAGAGCAGTGTTGGTTTGCAACGAACGTTAAATTGCTAATGATGATAAATTGAAAACAATGTTAACTTTTTGCTAGTAAATGTTTTTTCGTATGCTAATAACTAAACAAATATAATATTAACAACAAATAAAACCAAAAACAAAACCAAAAAACCCTAAATACTTGTAATTAACTATTTCTCTTTAATTTATGATAATTATCGTTAAACAAACTGCAAGCGAGAGTGGGCGAGAGAGAGAGAGAAAAACAGATTAATTGGAAGCAATATCGTTCGAAGCACTGAATTGCGTAGGAAAACAATTTCTTAAATGTATAACAGATTCAGTGACAGCAACATTTCAAAATTTGACAGCAAACCAAATTTGACGCGTTATCTATGGCCGACGCATATTTTTCGCTTCAATTTCCGACAGTTAAGTAACTAAACGAGTCTACAAAATTAACGGAAAATAAATGAAAATTAAAATAAACCTACCAACTTTTGGTATTGACGCCAGCTTTGCTATTTGCTACGTGCGAAGCTTTGTAGAGTTGCAAATGTTCAACGGAGACGTCAAATCGGTCAACCAGTCACAAAACTGGTTTACAACTTGTTTGTCCTACGTGTAATTTTTAACTTTGACAGCAAAGTGAAAAACGTAAACTTTGACGGCCACAATGAACATTTTTACATTTAATTTCCTCTAGTCAAGTACTAATTAAACTTGGCTCAAAGTTTGCCAGTACTTGCAATTCATTAGAGTTATCGAAAAATTTAAGAAAATGGCAATTAAAACAGGCTAATTGTAACGCGCGTAGAGTGATAAAAGTTGGCCAACTTTTCAAGTTGCCTTATGAGGTGTTTTTATTCAACGCAAATGTCAAATTAGAATTGTCACGCAACGCGGCGCTGAAAGTCTATCTCTTAGCGGCGTAAACCTTATTCGCTTTGCATATAAATGAAAGTTGCCCAACTCTTGGCATTGAGGTGTTTTTCTTCAACGCAAATGTCAAATTTTGAATTGTCACGCGACGCGGCGCTGAAGTTCCATCTATTAGCGGCGTGAGACTTTTTCGATTTGCACAAAAATGAGAGTTGCCCAACTCTTGGCGTTTGCATCAGAATTGCTTAAGATGGGAAACTTCATAAAGATGGATTAATGTCACACAAAGCGTTCCAAAACTTCTAACGGTCAATGTCGTTATGATGCATTTCCATTAATTTGTAAAAACGGCGGAAATTTTGAATTTCTGTTCAAACAGCTCTCTTCATAATTTCTCGTCTTGTGCTCTCTTTATGAGTTGTGTTGTTCAAAAATTAAGGGAATTAAAAACTGTTTGAGTAAATGTGAGGTTATGTTTGAGTTTCAAATGTGAATAAGAAGAATAAACTGCCATTTTTTAAACAAAAGTATGTAAAAATAATTTATTACACACGATTTTATGTGCTTTAAATTCTCTTTCGTGTTCGTGTGCATATAAAATTTTCAGCACAGGCGTCAGTTTATCGTCACAATGGCTTAGATGCTGAAAATATTACAAAACTGGTTGCACTACTTAAAGCATGAACAAAAAAAAAACAGTTAATTATATTTATATTCACCACATTGTTACTACCTAGATATGTATGTATATTTACGCAATACTTTTTCACAAAAAAAAAAAAAAACACAAAAATTCTAATCAAGTCCGTGTGGTATAATTGCTAATTGTCTGAAAAAAATATTTAAAAATTTTGAACAACAAAACGACAAAGAGAGCAAAAGTGGAGAAGCTGGAGAGATACACTGAATTTATTACACGCGGTGAATCAGTTGTTCAGTTTGACAGTAACAGCTGCTCAGCTGTTCAATTTGACAGCTATGGCTGTTCACAGTCATACTATTTTGACAGTTGTTAGACATTTTCTCAAAATTTTTGGGAATTTTGTATACTGGTGTTTTTGAGTAGTAATGCCAAGATAACAGAAGGGGTGAAAAATCTATGTTATTTATGGGAGAGACAATTTTGACAGCTGAGTTTAAGTAGGAGCAATACAGAGCAAAATAGCTTTAAATCAGCGAAATGAAGCAAAAGAACCTACCAGACAAAAAGTAAAAGGACAAAGAGGAAAAATCGAAAAATATTTTTATTTTCAGACTATTTACGCTTTGATTATGATTGAGATTTGTTCCGAAAAAAAAACCCTTTAATTCCCAAGCAATTCACCACGCTTTATTTAAATATAATTCTTTCATCATCATTTCAATAAAATTTAATGGACAGCGGTGTACTAGTTACTTAAAGCAAAGCAAAAAATAAAACAAATAGCAAAACAAATAGTAAAAAAAATATTAGCTGCAAAAGGAAAACCGAAAACAAAAAAAAAATAAATAAAAAATATTAAGAGAATACACTTTTAATTTAAGCAGTTTAGCTTCTAAGATAATTATAATTAAATTTAATACATAATGAATAAATGATGATGTTAAATATGCAATGTTGGCAACAAATGGTGAAAAGGTGAGAAATTAATTAGTTAAAGCAAAACAAACCAAAAAAGAAAAAGCTAAAATTCTTGTAAAATTTACGATTAAGTAAATAAAAAACAAAAAATAAATAAATTTATAAATTTAACATTTCAATAATATAATATAATGTGAAACATAAAAAATAATAAAAGGAAAATGGCGGCGATGAGTTGACGAGCGTTCAGCTGTAGCAGCGGTTGTAATTTCGCGCGCGTGCGCTTACAAAAAACATCAATTCGCGGGGCATCAAATAAAAAGCAGAAGAATACCAGTAATAAAATACCAAGTAAACGAAGAAACGCGCCGAAGGATCGTAGACGTTGTAGAGTGCATATAATAAATCAACAAAAACAAAAACAAAAACAAAAAAACATATACATAATTAGTAACATTGCGTATTCTCTAGAGTATAACAAATTTTGAATTGAAAATTACTGAATAAAAAGCTAATAAAGTACCACACGAACAAAAAAAAAAAAAAAAAAAAAAAAAAAAAAAAAAAAAAAAAAAAAAAAAAAAAAAANTGTCACTGAAATGGCGATGACAATTTGTTAGGCACTGTCCACACTCACTTTAAAGGCATTATCATCTATGTATTTCAACCAGCCTCAGCCGGTACTGCCACCTATCGGAAAACGGCGGAATCAAAGTTGTACACTCCTCCTGTATATTGCCACGGTAGGAATTTTAACGAGGACCCAAATTCTCCCGCGTTTGCACTGTGCAATGCATTTCTTTGGACATCCGAGATATTTACAATCAACCAACTATATGGTACAGCTTTCCAATGAAGGGACAATACATTCTAGGTGCATGCTCTTAATAAGGAAGTCGTGTTAGCATGAAAAAGTTACTTTCAAAGTTTTCTCTCAACAATTTCACGATTACGTCTCTAACAGCTCTACATTTCTATGGAGAGATTTGCCTTTACTAAAAGATCTTAGTCAAAAAGTTTCTCAACGTGTCTTTTATATGGCTTTCTTTTGCATGAATTATTTTCTACCAAATAATTATGTGGCATCACAATGAAACGTCATGTCAACATAAAATGACAACTAAAACTATCTGGCAGCATAACACATGACACTATCATTAATTTGTATTGTCATTCAGTCGAATAAAATTAAATTTTGCAAATAATAAAATGGTAAGCTTTCTTTTTATATAAATATTTATTTTAATTGAGTAACTAATTCAATTATATATAAAGGAGTCAGCACCACAAATTTTGGACGCATCACCACAATGGGCAACGCCCGTGCACAAGAATGCCTTGATGCAAACAAAGCTGAAATTACCAGAAGAAAATGCTGAACATGATTGGTTAATGCAAGTTGTTCGCAATAGGGAAGGTGAAGGAGTACCGCTTAAAATGGGTATGGAATTGCATGCCGCTGGAAAAGTTGGACGCCTCCCATTTTTGCATTCTAGGTGAGTTTTAATTGAAAACGTATATAGAATGTGCGGTGCAGAAACTCGTGCAATTTGTTAGCATTGTAGCTGCAAAACTCTGGATGAGTTATAGCCTTTGGTTGGAAACTACTAACAGTAGTTGTAACGGCTGTCAAATGAGATTCATAGTATCCGGATATATATTATGTGTGTAAAAATCTATTGTAAATACTGATTTGGTAGTAGTTGTGCAGTCGTTGGCCGCAATCAAGGATATCAGCTGTTTCGACGGTTTCGAACCAGAGCGAAAGTGGGTTAGACGAGGAGAGTTAGGGAAAACAGTTATAGTCCATTTCCTTTTAACATCTAAAGAATAATAATATTCTTCTCTTTGTTTTTCTTCTAGCAATATGATGCGTGATGTCTTACTGGCGAGAGATGAAATGATTGACTTCTCTGATATTCTCGGTCATCCTGAAAACTTCGAATTCCAGAATCAGCCTCATGCAACAGTCGAAAAGATGAGTGAAAGTAAACATAGCTATTAAAATGTATTCTAATGAAAATAATAAAGCTTTTTTCTAAAATGCTTTGAAATATTATTAGCGAAGCAGCTATTTTTTTGCATTGCAAAGAACAATTAGAAAATATTCCTTTTAGTTTACAGTGCCTTTCGTAGTGAATTTCTCGGTATGTACTGAAAAAGGGGCACCGTTGATGCAGCGGTGATCTTAAACAGAAACCTATACTTTCTTAAGGATAATATAACCAATGAAGTCTTTCTTAGTGACCTGTAAAGAAATGAACACTGTTGAAGTTTTTTAAATCTTGGTGTTGAAAAATAAACTACACAAGTTTCAGGGTCGGAAAACATTAGCACTTCCGTTTTGTCTGTTTTACCGCGAAACTTAATCAACAAAATTACAAAACAATTTTCGGTTTGAAATAAAGACTAAAAAGCGGTTTCGTAGTTATTTATTATCCGCGTTTAAATTGTTATAAATTACTGCAGATGGCACTGCGCACATTTTGCGAAATCTGGTCTTATTGGCTTACATTCTATTAGTTGCAGCGATATTCCCCAGCCGTATTTAAGTGTTTAGCACCTTTGCTACATAATAAGAGTAAGTAACGTGTTTATTTGTATTTTCTAAGCCTCCTAAAGTAAGTGAATACCCGCATTGTGATATCCTTGAGCGTGTTCACTATGCCGATGCTTTGAATATTTTTGGCATTTCAACTAACGTCAGATGTCGCCAAGCAGCTGAATCAGCTGAATCATTCGTCAAATTGTTGTTGCATTCTGTGCACAGTTTTTAAAGTACGTAAAAAAGCAGCAAGAACAAAAGACGTAGAAAATTTTGAGGAACACACAAAAAATTGTACGGAAAAGTAAAGAAAATATTTTGCTATTTGAAGAAAATTAGAAGAAATTAATCGAAAGAATTTAGTAAACAATTTTAATTTTAGACAAATCAACCAACGAGCAGAAAGCTGAAAATTAATTCAATTTGCATACAAAGAAAACATATAAAACGGGGCAAAAGAAAAAGAATCTACCGCAGCGTAGTTGAAGAAATATTACCGTGCATTGCTGTTTTTGCATCCCAAAAAAGAAAAATTGTTCCCGACTTCTGTTGCAATTGGATTATAGTGAATTAGGCATAATTGTGCAGTTGCGAGTGTGCTAGCAAAAAAATGTTTCATAATAAATTTTTGACATTGGCTGTGTTGCTGAGCGTTAGTAGCGCTTTGATTTGTGGTGAGTAATAAATCTAAGCCTGCCATAATTATACTTAATTGACTGCAATGGGCTACAGGAGTGTGTGTACGTCTGTTTTTCTTGCTAATTAACTGAAGGAGTTAACATTTAAACGCATTGTGCATTTGCTAGACATTTAGCTGAGCTTGTAGGCGATTATGGCTTGAGTTCATTTTAATTTGATTAGGGACTGCATGGGGTTGCGAAATAACCAACAATATTTGTATTAATATAAGTCAGCGCATTCATATATATGCGAAACTAACATATTTAGACTTTCAATGCGTACTTTTTTTCAAATATAAATGAAGAGCTTTACGTCAATCTGCTGCACAGCGCTTCCACTCTTGAGTGCAGTTTCGAGCTACTATTTCTGACTTGCTGATATTCATTGTACATACCTACATAAAAATTAAATGATCAGCTCCCACCTACAAATTCTATAACACTGAGTTAATATCTCTCAATACAATTTACCTAAATTAAGACTAATACGCATTAATATTGACATTCTCAGTTTCTTGCCCATTTCTACTAAAAAAAATTTGTTATCAAAAATAAGCCAATAGATATATGTTTATTTGTGCGCATACAAACACATATGTATATTATATGTAAATATACATTTAGGTACGTGTACGTATGTTAAGTGGTATATACAAATATCTACCATTTGTTAAGTGTTTTTGTTGCCAATTTCTATTTTTGCCTATTTTGCTTTGTTCGAGAAACAAAGTTAAAACAGTTTAAGTTAGTAAATATGTGACGTAAGCGTATGTACTCATGTTGTATACACGATTGATTTGATTATTTTGCAATTCATTAAAGGGAAACAACGCGGTGGCTCTGTTTATCTGTCTATAAAGTTGAATTTTTTCGTAAATTTAAAATATTGTAGATTAGAAGTCTCCTAATAATATATAGTTAAATAATTTCCTCTTTATAAAGTATAATTTAAAAAAAAATATTTTTATGTTTATCCTATCTGTTTTGTGCTTAATAAATTATAAATTTTTTTTTAGTATTAATGTCATATTTTTCTCATTTATCTAAGCCCTGATTTGTATACATATATAATATGTACGTAGGAACCTATAAGCTGTAATAGTAATCGAACTATAAGACGGGTACCTTCAGTATTCGGGGAATCACATTCTATCTGATCTATAATCGGTTGCCATTTTACAATTTCTATATAAATTTCATGTATATACATACTTATGTACACACATACGGACTTACATGATCGCCAATTAGCTATTATTCTTCAACAACTTTCAGTCGCGCTGCATTTATATCTAGAATGACGTTTATGTATACAAACATACATATGTGTGTACATACCCAGCTGTACTTCGGCATATACGTATATAGGCTTATTAAATATTTACATATAGTGTGAACAAACTTTATATTATATATTGTATGTTGACACATACTTATATGTATGTGTGTGTAGTGCGCTTCTAATGCACTGCATATGAAGATGCTTTTTTCATAATAAAAACTTTATATGATTATTCGTTAATCTGTTGTTAGGCCTCATTTTTCTTTGACTCTATGCATTTATTGCACATACAGACAGACAAACATGCAAACAGTGATGATGTGGGCACCGCTGATTCAACTAAAGATGACATGATAAGTGCCGGGCGGTTACAATGGAATCAGAAAACATACATACATACTTATGGGGAAGTAGCTAAAGCAAGTTACAACGCCCACCATTTTTACTTTGAAAAATTTTCATATTTATTTATCTAAACGTGAAGTGATTTTTTTTTCATTAATCAGTAAATATTTATTTTAAGAATTGTTTTGTAGTCTCTATTCATTAGTTCAAAAAATATTATATACAAAAAGATAATAATAATATTTTTTCCACGTTCAACATTCACTGCTGTCATCTTCTTTCATAATTTATAATTGTTATATAATTTTTGTGAATATTTTTATAATTTCTTTTACACGTAATCGCTTGTTATATTATATAAACGTTTGGTATTTAAAGGTCACCATCTTAGCATGCATACCACTACATACATACATTCATTATTGCAAATGCATTCACAGCTTAGTATTTTGTGGAAAACTGTTGGCATTGCGGCGCAACTTGGGACGACCATACAACGTTGGTGTGGCACTGAACTAGAACTCTACGGATATTACATAGAGAAAATTGCGGTCTTGTGGTTTTTCAGCTGACATTCGAGTAATGCATAGCTACATATGTACATATTTTTATGTACTGCACATTCATATGTACATACATATGTTGCTCATTAGTGTACCTATGTCATTTCACTGAAAAGTTAAAGGTGGAAAAGTAGTATAAAGTATACCTAAAATGTACATGCAAAGTATTATACATATCTGCATACATACATACATACGTAGGTATATTACATTTTAGAAATAATAAATGAAGGAATTTTAAGAATTTTACTGATAAAGTAAATGAAATGTAGTTCAAACAATTTTTTTTTGTTTTATATGCATATGCGTATGACATACTACATATTTATGTATGTATGTATAAAATTGCTGTGCTTTCCACTGCTATATTCCAATTAAAATATTTTTTTATTTAAAAAATATTTAATCAAAAAGAAATTAAAATAAAAATAATTAAATTGAAATAATATTAACTAAATAAAATTTAGGTGAACCAAATAAAATTAATATAAATTATATTAAACTGAATCAATATATTTAAAAAAAAAATTAAAATTAAATTAAAATCAAGTAAATTTAAATAAATTGAATAAATGAAAATAAATACTATTAAAAAAAATTACATTAAAAAATTATAAAAAAAAAAATAATAATATTGAAAAAAATAATAATATTGAAAAAAATAATAATATTGAAAAAAATAATAATATTGAAAAAAAAAATAATAATATTGAAAAAAGAAATAATGATATATGAAAAAAAATAATAATATTTAAAAAAAATAATAATATTTAAAAAAAAAAATAATAATATTGAAAACAAAAAAAAATAATATTGAAAAAAATACTGAAAAATTAATAACATTAAAAAAAATAATAATTAAAAAAATTACTAAATAACTAAAAATAAATAAATAATCAAAAATTAAATAATAAATAACAAATAAATAAATATAAAAACAGATCAGAAATAAATAAATAAAAAATAAATAGAAAATAAATAAAAAATAAATAAAAAATAAATAGAAAATAAATAAAAAATAAAGAAAAAATTAATAAAAAATAAGTAAAAAATAAAGAAAAAATTAATAAAAAAATAAATAAAAACTAAAGAAAAAATTAATAAAAAATAAATAAAAACTAAAGAAAAAATTAATAAAAAATAAATAAAAACTAAAGAAAAAATTAATAAAAAATATAAAAAATATAAAACAAATGAAAAATATAAATAAAATAAATAAAATAAAAAGGTAAATAATATAAAAAAAAATAAATAAAATAAAAAAAAATAAAAAATATGAAGAATATAAAGAATATAAATAAAATATAAAAAAAAAATAAAAAATATATAAAAATATAAAAAATAATAAAAAATAATAAAAAATATATAAAAATAATAAAAAATATATAAAAATAATAAAAAATATAAAAAAATATAAAAAAATATAAAAAAATATAAAAAAATATAAAAAAATATAAAANAATAAAAAAAAAAATGAAAAATAAAAAAAAAAAATATAAGAAAATATATAAAAATAAAAAAATAAATAAATAAATAAATAAATATTAATAAAAAAAATATCAAAATAAATAGATATTAATACAAAAAAAAATATAAAAATAAATAAATATTAATACAAAAAAAAAATAAAAAAATTAATGAAAAAAAGAAAAAAAAAAATAAAAAATTAATGAAAAAAAAGAAAAAAATAAATAAAAAGATAATACAAAAAATAAAAAATTAAAGAGTAACTAAAAATTTAATAAAAAAAAAACATAAATAATGAAAAACTATAGAAAATAAAGAAACAGTAAAAATAAATATTGTATATTAAAAAAAATATAATAAAGCAAAAGTAAATAAAAATAATAAATAAAAAGACTAAAAAACCATAGAAAATAAAAATAATAAATAAAATATCTATATAAAAAATAAAAATAATATAAGTATATAAATGAAATTTATATAAAAAATAAATAATAAATAGAAAATGAAGAAAGCAAAATAAAACAAACTCTTGTAGTAGATAGGCATTTACTTTTATTAAAACAGCAGCTGTATTCTCATGATTCACCACATTTATTTATTTTAATCATCTTTTTTTTTTATCAACAAAATAAATAATAAAACTTATAAATAATTATCTGTCTGCTATAAAAAAAAAATAATAATAATCGCATACATAAATGAATCCTCACAGCTTTCGCCACAGCTTAATTTACATAAAATTTAAGTTAAATAAATACAAATTGAGTTTAAATAAAATCTCACATATATACTTACATACGTGTACTTATGGCTACAAATACATAAGATATGAAGTTGATTTTGAAAGATTCTCATTCTTGGGACTTGTTTTTTTTTGGTTGCCTAACATTTTCTACGACTGCGCTTGTTTAGTTAACTATTAAGTTGCCGGGAAAAAAACTATTACTGACACGATTTAAACCGCTAAACAATGTAGTTCTCGCCCGTTTTTATATGTACGTATGTACATAGCTTAACAAAAACCTAATAAGTTATATATATATATTAACATATTACTTCTATTTGCTTTTCTGTTTTATTTTTATCTTTTCATTTCTTATACGTAAATATTTAGTTACAGTCGCTAGAACCAGCTACTCCACAACTTTTTTTTTACTTACTTTTCATATTTACTTCTATTTTATTTTATTTGTTTTCTGAATATTGTACAAAGAAATTATATATACATACATATATGTATATATATACATGTTTGTATGTCTTATTTGTTATGGTAATTGACTGAAATTGCAGTTTTGTGAGGTTTTTTTGTTAGGCTCTTATCTCAGATTATCTAATTTCTAGAAATTTTTAGAGAAAAATATGCGTTAGCTAACTTTTGATTAGCCTAACTGTAAAAATATGCACATTTATACCTAAATAATATATTTTAAATGATATGTGAGTTGATTTGCACGATTTCAGCTGGCCTTACTGCGTAATAAGGTAAAAAAAAATTTTTTTGTGGTTACAACAACAGCAACCTAGGAACAGTTGTTTAACTGTGGCATACCGAACCTGGTTGATATTTTACATCGGTTTGAACCAGATTTTCGGCTCTACCCAAGTGTGTTCCCTATTTTATTGCAATACAATTGTTATTTTGTGCCTTGGATTAAAAATTTAACATCAATTTTTCGCTTAATGAAAATAAATGCATCATTTACTTTCGGCGAGCCTTATCAACATGATATCGCAAATGAATACTCGTGAAAAATAAAAAAACATTTTTAATTTCACAAAGCTTCAAGTCATCTGTATCAGTGCATTTACGTGTATGTGTGTATATGTATATTTTATCTCTTGCTTTTTTGCTGCAAAATACTCATTAAAATATATATTCATACATACATATATTCATATAATATGTATGTATGTGTATATATATGTATATGCACAATAAATATTCCTATGTTATTTGCTTAACACTTTCTTTGTGCGTCATATTCACCAGCCATGATGCATCGTGCTTGCACTCAGTTACAGCAACTTCATTCATCCATGCGAATTTTTGCTATATGGTCATTGCTACTGTCAACTGATCCGTCTTCTCAACACTTTATTGTTTTTAAAATAGTAGGCTTTTCATTGTCAACAACAGTCACAGTAGATGAAATCCTTATCTTTAATGCCTTGCTATGGTTATATTGTGGGCTATTTTTGTTCTTAAGTGGAACATTTTTTTCTTATTTAAAATAAAACTAAATTAAATCCTACAAAATGAACATAAAAAAATTAAATAATAAAAATTAAAATAAAATTAAAATAAATCAGAAAAAATTAAAATAAAAGTAAAATAAACCATAAAAAATTAAATTAAATTAAAAAATGTTATAATACTGAATTAGAATAAAAAATAAAATATAAATCATAATAAATTAATATAAAATAAATAAATTATAAAACGAAATAAAATAAAAAAAACTTAAGTAAAGCTTGAAATTAAATTATAAATTATGAAATGAAATAAAATAAAATAATAAAACTTAATTACATACAAAAATTTCAATTAATTAAAATTAAGTCATAAAAAATGAAATAATTCAAATAAAATAAAATATAATAAATAAAATAAAATATAATAAATAAAATAAAATATAATAAATAAAATAAAATAAATAAAATTAAATCATGACTATTAAAATAAAATAAAATTAAATCATTAATATTAAAGTAAAATAAAATAAATATTAAAACATAAATAAAAATTAAAATATAAAATAAAATTCAATTAAATAACGAATATTAAAATAAAATAGAATGAATATTATAATAAAATAACTTTTAATCATGAATATTAAAATAAAATAACTTTTAATCATGAATATTAAAATTAAATGAATTTAAACCATAAATATTAAAATTAAATGAACTTAAACCATAAATATTAAAATTAAATGAATTTAAACCATAAATATTAAATTAAAATCAAATTAAATTATGGATATTAAATTAAAATCAAATTAAATTATGAATATTAAAGTAAAATTAAATTATGAATATTAAAGTAAAATTAAATTATGAATATTAATGTAAAATTAAATTATGAATATTAAAGTAAAATTAAAATATGAATATTAAAGTAAAATTAAAATATGAATATTAAAGTAAAATTAAAATATGAATATCAAAGTAAAATTAAATAATGAATATTAAAGTAAAATTAAATTATGAATATTAAAGTAAAATTAAATTATGAATATTAAAGTAAAATTAAATTATGAATATTAAAGTAAAATTAAATTATGAACATTAAAGTAAAATTAAAATATGAATATCAAAGTAAAATTAAATTATGAATATTAAAGTAAAATTAAATTATGAATATTAAAGTAAAATTAAATTATGAATAAAATAATAAAATAAAATAAAATAAAATAAAATAAAATAAAATAAAATAAAATAAAATAAAATAAAATAAAATAAAATAAAATAGAAATATAAAATCAAATAAAATAAAGTATTTGAAAATCCAAAAATTAAAAATAAATGAAATAAAACTCAAATAAAGAAAAAAAGAAAAAAAGGAAAAAAGAAGAAAAAAACAAAATGAAGCAATGGATTATTTTCTTAGCTGAGCCAACAGAGTATGAGTCGTTATTTATGAATAATTTCATTCGAAGATACGGATAATATTGAAATTGAATATATAAAATCTCAATTTACTTACATATGTATGTATGTATATAATGTTATAAGTAACACTTGTTCTCATATTTTACGATCTGCTTGCAATTATATACATTACATACAGATATATTATTCTTTTGCATTCTACATTTATCGCTCATATACATTTTCACCACATATGTGACTCAGGGTGATATATATGTAAATATATATTTTAAATATAAATGTAGTTTTTTCGTATGTTTTCTTTTTTTTTGCTGATTCGAAACAACAGCTACTACACATAAGCGTAACTATAAAGCCGCTAATGACGACGCGCTTGAATGCCGTGGAAGAAAACCAAAGTGCGAATGTATTGCACAAAGAAATTGATAATAATATTGCGGACAGGCACTATCAAAACAAACTTGCTTAGTAAAGGAAAACGAGCTTGAGCTGAACAAATGCTCTTATTTATTGCTTTTGCCTCTTTTTTTTTAGAGCAAACAAAAAAACCGCCTATGCCGTGATACTTATAGCCTTAGCATCAATAAGGCAGACTATCAGTTTCTTTTATATGCTAAAAAAATTTATTATACAATTATTTATTTGTAAAAAGACGCAAATTTTGTTTATTTTTCGTTATGACTCAATTTGTGTTGAAAGATATTTAATTCTAATGAAAAAAAAAAAAATACTACCCTCAGAATTGCAGTCAATTCTTTTTTGTGTACAAATGTACATATATTTTAAGTTTAAAAAATGTATAACCGTAATTTTTAATTTTTCTCTCTCTTCAATTAGCCGCCCAGATCGATGTTAATTTGTCGGATGCCAAGTTACCTGTTGAACAGCATGAAGGCGTAGAACAGCCCAAGACAATCGCTGCAGCAACTACAACTAGTAGTACAACGTCAACAACAACAACAACTACAACTACGCCACCGACGACAACAACAACAACAACAACACCAAGCACCACCACCACCACTGCAACAGCGGCACCACCAACAACAACTACCGCTGCACCAAACACCACCACTGTAGCACCAATAACAACAACACCCGCACCAGCGCCATTCCCAGCACCAGATGTCGGCGTATGGAATTCCAGCTGTATCATCGTACACTTGGCTGCACAATTGAACTTTACGTATGAGACTAAAGGTAAGATTTGGGAATTTTACAGCTGGAATTTAAATGGCAAACAGCGAAGGTTGGAAAGTGAAATAGAAAAAAGGTTTAAAATTAAAAAAATATATATGTATATATATATATAGAAAGTGAGATTTTATAAAATTTAATTTAAATTTTTTTATTAATTTAATTAAATTATTTATTATAAATTTAAAAATATTAATTTATATCTACTCTTTTTAGACAATAAAAACGCTTCCCGTTTATACAACATACCCGCGGATGCCAAAGTTGAAGATTCCAATTGTGCTGAACTTTCGCAAACGATACACCTTGCCTGGGGACCCGTTGATGCCATACACTCAATGGTCTTACAATTCGATTTGGTTAACAAATCGAGTGAATTGAAACAGATCTACATCACTTTACCACTAACCAGTGATCATTTCCCCGACGCTAAGGGTATGTAGATATGTAGCGAAAATACACTAGTCAGAAAAAGTATGCGTACAAAGTCCGCTATGGTTTTGCAATGTCCATTGTATATATACGATTTTTTCTGTTTAGAATCTTGAACGTGGTGTCGATCATCTAGCGACATCAGTGTTATGGATTATTCTTTGAAAACTGGCAGACAAAATTTACGTACAAAGCCTTCAGAGTGTACTCTCACACTTCAAATTCAATCAAGCTTATATAATATAATAAGCATAACTTGCATACGAAAATCCGACGTTTTGTAAATATTGATTGTAAATTAAAGGTACATAAAACAGTTAAGCTGTGAAAAGAAGGCAAAATCATGCGTAAAACACTGAATCACTGCTACTGGAACTCTCTTCTGTTCGAATAGATGCTCCCATTTATAAGCTTGAGCTTGATTTACACTTACTAAGCATCGTTCTGTATGCTTTTCTAAGTTGAGTGGCCGAGAAAAGTTGCATATTATTTCAGAAGTGGAATATAATCTTTAAATCCTGTCCTACCAAAAAAAGCGATCAAATAAATAAACCAGTTCTCAGCGCTACTGCTTGCAAAATTCACAAAAAAAGTAGTAGATCCTAAAATCAGGCCGCGCGAAATACGCTCACGACAAGAATCACATAAGCAAGCAAATGCTAACATGAACAGGCCAATAGAGTCTTGGAAAAAATGCTTTAATCCGTTTAAAGCAATTTTTCATAATTGGCTTCATAAGGACGAGAATTCTTTTGTAGCAAACAAGGTACAGTCTTCAACAAGAAAAACTTAGTGCGAGATAGATTTCCAAGGCATATAGTGGAGTAGGTTAACTCATATTTATTGATGATATTATTGAGAAGATATTATATCTTGACATTATAAAAGCAAATGTATGCAAAAAGCTCAAAAACTTTGCTTAGGAAATCCTTTCAACAATACAATGATCGGAAATGCATCGCAGTGATAATTAAACTTTGCCTGCCTTACAGTGTGACACCAATTCAGCTCACTACCTCGATCTGCAGACCTCCTATTAAGATTCTATTGAGCTCTTGCGGGCAGCAGGTTTCCTATACACAGCTTTCAAGCCCGGCTTGAAAAGTATTCTTCAAAAGAATATTTTTTTTTTTTTAATATTTTGAAGCTTAGTCTACTTGTACGCAAACTTTTCCTGACTAGACTATACACATTTTTAAGTCAATCACAAACCATAAACTGGAAGTATAAATATATATTTTTTTTTATTCTTAGATAATCAAACCATTCAATTGATTCACCAAGGCGATGATTTCGTTACACCCGCTAAGATGTCTTACCACTGCACACGCGCACAGAAATTCAACTTGACCGAAATTATGCAGGATAGCAAAATATTGGGCACCATCACACTGAGCAATGTACAAGCGGAGGCATTCATTACCGACAATCGTAACACCTTCTCCACCGCTATGGATTGTGATGGACCGAAAACCATGGATATTGTGCCCATTGCCGTTGGCATTGCAATGGCCGCACTCATACTCATTGTATTGATCTCTTATTTGTGTGCGCGTCGTCGTTCCACATCGCGTGGCTACATGAGCTTCTAAGCTGGTAGCAGCGTGATTTAAAGGCTGTTATAGGTAGCGGCAGGCGCGTGATGTATTGTAGGTAGGCAGGGTGTGTAGTAAGCTGGTGTTAGTGACACAGTAATTATATAATGTATTTAGGTCGTCATGATATGTGTGTGTAGAGGGGGACGCAGTGCGATTTTTTTTTTTTTTTTTTTTTTTTTTTTTTGTATAAGCGGGTATAATACGAAATATTGTTTACATTTGTAGAGAAAAAAGAAATTTTTTTTTTGAGAGAGAAACAGTAAAAAGATTGAAACGCCGAATTTTGATTTACATTGTCACGCAGCAAATCGAAGAGCAGGGGGAAAACAAACAAAAAAAAAAAACAAAAAACAAAACAAAAAACAAAACATAAAACAAAAGCAGTCAATAAAAAATATTGAAAATAACACATCTTTTAAGATATTCACCAAACAAAGAAAAAAAATTTAGTACATAAAATTGTCCAAACAGTAAGCGAGCTAAAAAAAATAAATAAAAAATAAGAAAAGAAAAAATAAAAAAATAAAAAGCACTGCGTTAGCAATTTTAATTCAATAGACTTTTAAACGAACATTACGTACAGTTACAGATACAATTATAGTAAACGAAAACAGGGTGCAGTTACAAACATACATATTTTAGGCAAAAACAAGAGTAAACACACAGTTGCTTACTTTAGTTTTTGCCAGCGCCAGCGCTAAAATTTAGCTGTTCTATTGTATAATTTCTCTTAATTTTATGTCTTTTCCAACGTATTATAATTATTATTATTTTTTTTTTTATAGATTATTATTCAAACGATTTAGTGCGCATACATACATATAAACATATTTCTTAATTAGAACCATATACATACATATTATATATATTCGAAACGACACTCTACGTTCAGTTAGCTCGCAGTATACACGCAAAAATGTCATTCTTCCCTCTTAACGCTACACAAAAATATAAAAAACACGTCAAATATTTTTCTTTAAACCTCAAAAAAAAAAAAAAACAAACTGTTATAAATGCAAATACAACAGCAAATAGGTGCAGGAAACTTAGTTTGTAATTAGGAAACATGTAAAATTGGCCAACTACAATCACATTTTTTGCGTAATTATCCATATTTGTGCTAAATACGCGTACACACAATCAATTTTAATTTCAAATATTATTTAATTGGCTGAGTATTATGTGTAATTTAATTATAATTGAAGTACAATTTTCTTTATATTCGAAAAAAAAACAAAAAAAAAAACAAAAAAAAATTACATACTAAATCCAAAATAATAAAAAACGAGTTGCTTACATTTTGCATATCGTGTATACAAAAACAATTTTTTTAACGCCTCTGTAATGAATATGAAATCTACACATGGAAATTAGTTTAATGCATACATACATACAAACATACATATATTAGGTATTTGGCATGTAATTTGATTAAAAAATTTTTTATTATAAAATTTAAACTTGGCCTTAAATAAAGTGAGGTAACTGAACTAAAGATAAAACGCTTTTTTATTCCTTCCTATTAGGGCAGCACGAAAGTTAATTATGAGTGGTGAGTTTCAACACAAAAATGCTAATGAATTTTAAGAAAACTCAGAGTTTGAAAGGTCCATTACACTGACTTTTTGAAGGTTTATACGATTTTGTGTTGTTGTAATTGTTCTGATGGTTGTTGTTGTTGTTGTTGTTGTTGCTACTGCTGTTGTTTTTGCTGTTGTTATTATTATTTTTGTTGTTGTTGTAATTGTTCTGGTGACAGTTGTTGTTGTTGTAATTGTTCTGGTGACGATTGTTGTTGTTGTTGTAATTGTACTGCTGACGTTTGTTGTTGTTGTTATAATCGCCAAAAATTTCGCTGACTTGATTTTCGCGAAATATTGCGTGCGTGGCAGTGCTTGGCCGGATAAAGTACCGAGTTGTGTCGTTATAAAGACCCGAATTTCGCGAGCACTGCTGGGATTTTAGTCGCCTCTTACGTCAGGCGTTCCTTACCACGGGTAAATTCTTGAGCCCCTAACTCACACAGGGGCTTCTAGTAGCGGTTCGCTTGGTAACTAGCCAGATTAGCTTAAGTCATTGAGTTCCATGAAATGAGCTTTTTCGACAGCTTTGAATCGGTGTGAAACGCGGCTTAGTTTAGTTGGTTTTAAGGGCTACACAAAGAGTTGCTTATAGTCGTGTGGTGTCTCATTGCATGCAGAACGTAAATACATTGGGTATGCCGCGCTCAAGTCTGGACAAGTAGGAATTAAGTCCGCAGATTTTAAGTGTGCCAGTATTACTCGGTTTTGCCGAGGCAGCTCGAGCTCTTCGTCTGCAATAAGTTGGGTTTGGACTCTGAGAACGCCATTGTTGTTGTTGTTGTTGTAATAGTGGCTCGCCTACCCGTTCAAGGTACAGGCAAAATCAGTCTACCTCGCAACTCTCACGACAGCCGATTCTATGCATCGGAGCTGACCCGGATTTTATCTAACCAAGGGCTGTCAACTCGTTCAGGTCAGTAGATAACATGAGTCTAAGTTATTCAACGGAGCAACCAATTCCTGGAGCTCTCGTTAGATGACCTCGATGACTTATATTAACCAGCATGTTTCTAAGTGGGGTCGGAGAACCGCTACAATAACAACAACTATTGTCTTATCTCGTCGAGTTCATCTAACGAGAGGCTAAGGAGACGCGGTTCTCCGTTGTTTTGGAACCAGCGAGAGGGTTGTTAGATGAATTGGCTTTAGGGGAATTCAAAGAGGTGGATGGTTGTAACGAGAATCTGAATAAATCTGTATGAATCAATCAACAGGTCAACGTTCTATTATTGCTGACACGAGGTGCAGCGGGAAGAATTAAGACAGGCAAAAGTTTCCTTGGAAGAATCTCTCTTCACAACCGAAGAACTGAAATCAGCGACAAATAAGCTAAAAATTAAGCCCAAACGCCAAACCCAAATAGAATACCAACAGAAGATTTCTATTGTTGTGAATTCATTTCTGGGCATAATTATTTCCTGCCTCAGTACCGGCCTATCCTCGGGAGACACGGGAAGACAGGACTTAGTCCTTGTTAGTAAAGAGAATGGAAACCCAATGCAATCCCTGCTCCGGTACGGAATATTACTGCTGAATGTGCAGTAGACAACTCCTAATCTTTCTTCCATTTCGGTAAGATGACATCTTAATATCTTCCTAGGTATTAGATTTGTAAGGAGAATATGCACCGCAACCAGTGGTCTATTGTGCTCTAGGTATTCTCAGACATTAAGACTCACAAGAAGTGAATCACGCGTTATCCAGCTTCGTTCTGCCAGTGGCCAACTGCGCCCCCAAGCCTTTACGGCTCTGTCCTTGGCAGAATTATCCACCGTCCCACACTCCCCAAGTTTACCTTCTATGTGGACTTAGCAGCTCCTAGTCCGCATTGTTTGTTCCGTATATCACGCCACAGTACGTGGGAATTTAACATTCGTCAGATTCCACTTTCGGAAGACCTGGTGAATACACTACTCCTCGCAAGCGCCGCCAGTTATTTTACGTGGCTTTTCATACTGCACTTTTTCGTTGACAGAACAAAATGACAAGTGATTCGCCGTCTGCAAACGGCTAAGGTCTAGCGTGGCGCTTGATATTTCCAGAGGAGTCAAAGTTGGGGTATTTTGGAAGGCAAAAGTCTGTAAATCTATCGACCTCGACGGAATAAGCATGTTTTTTTTACAGAACTACCGGGTGATCTGTCGCTGGTCATAACCTAGTGGTCTAACTGCTCAAACCGAAGGAGCCAGCCACTAAAGGAGAATCGTATCAGCTGCATTCGTTCACTTCTCTAGTAGCGCAGATATTTGAGGCCTCGCTGCTCGCGTATATCACCAACCACTTGAGTCCAAGAGCATATCCGCAAGGCATCCGTAAAGAGTTGAGCACTACCATCACAATAAACGACATAAATATCCAGATAAATTATATCCTTAACCAAAAGTCATTAGTCATGCAGTCCACCTCCTCTTCATAGTCCATTTCGTTCACATTTGTTACGATACGATGCCTAAAGCCCTACTATAGCCATACCGGCCACCAACCGAACTCAGCATCCAGAGGTTTGTTATATACTTAACTATACATATACTTAAGTATATTCGTGTATAAACATCTCTATGCATTTGCCATTGTGAGCCCACATAAAATTGCACATGGAATTTTAATAAAGCAACCCATTTCGACGGCACAACATTTCAATTGACTGGAATTTCATGGCCTCAACGCAAACCATAACAATTCGATTTGATGCGGTGCAATAAAAATTGGAAAAGTGCGGCTGTAATGGAAGTTGGGGGAAAAGGTAGATTGGAAACGAAAATGTCACATCAACGACTGCGGCGACTACAGCCAACAACGTCGAAGAGACGGCACGACGACCTGGTTTAAATAGCCGTCGTGCTAACTAACTGTAATTTTGCATGGAAATTGTTACTGCGGGCATTTGGAAGATACGTTCGTGGGTGGGAGTGTAAGAGCGCTGGGATGCGGAAGCGTTGACAAGCCGCATAAATGGCATGATTGTTTCGGCGCTCCTATTGGAGTCGTGACGCTGTGCGCCTGAGTGTATGCAATAAAAATCTCAAAGGCTATTGCCCTTTTATTTTTAATAGCTGCAAGGGGCGTTTGATGATGGGTGTGTGTGTGTGTGTGTGTGTGTTTGCGAGAGGTGGAGGGAGAGAGAGAGAGAGAGAGAGACATTCTGGGTGGTAAACGAAAGTGATTTTCAAAAACGCATCGAAGTCGATTAAATATTCATGAGCAATATGACGGCGTTGATGGTATTTCGTCGTGACAGCAGTGGCTCAGCAGTCACCAGTCTGCCATAGACTTAATAATGCTTGTTCAATATTTGCCTATTTTTAATAAGAATTTAGCTATAATGTGATTTTGTTTACAGTCTTAACGTTTATTCTTGCTCCAACTAGACTTCATCGAGTTTTATAAGGAGTGGAAGGGAAGAAAAAGAGAGAGAGTGGAATGTACTGAAATGTTTATAAAAATTAGTGTCATTTAATAACCATTAAGTGGAGGTCGTAATCTCAAGCAGAAGTGAACATTGTTGTTGCAGAAACTTAAAGTTTCAGAAATTTCCATTCGATGCAGGAATTAAAGTCAGCTTATTGCCATCTTACCCATTAAGACTCACAGAAAGTCATTCATGCGCTACCTGGCTCCAGGCTGGCAATGGTCAACGGTGTTCCAAGCCTTTACGGCTGTGTCTTCGGCAGAATTATCCACTATGGGTAACTCCGTGGTCCAACAAATCTCCCACTTCTCTACTATACTCCAACCCACTTACAACTTTACCTCTGAGTTAGAGGCTACTTAGCAGCTTCTAGTCCGTCATAATGTCTGGGGAGTCCGTGAATAAATTAGCTTGCGCTTTTGATAAGTAATGGACGGTGCTTGGACTGCTCCGACTTTGAGGGAAAGAGTGTATGCAATCTTGTTGATGGACAGAAGGTGTGCTAGCGAGATATCTGAAGTCGGTTGCACCGATGGCAATATCAAGCTCTCTTAGATACAGTTTAAAGTGGAGGTGGATGCCCCTTTGTGAACTGGCGGTCTGCTTCTGGATATGTGGGCACCTCAAAATGCGCGCTTGCAAAATTCTTCAGCCGAAAGCGGAACGTAGAAGTTCGGGGAACTTTCTTTATATCCCGAGGTTGAAGGTCTCACTTAGTGAGAGTTTTGACCGGACATTGTCTGACGGGCGGTAAGAGTTGGAATTTTTCCGTATAACCACTGCTGTAATTGCTTGGAAGAAGTGAAGGAATCAGTGCTTAGCTGACTGTTCTGTGGTTGCGAGACTGAGAAAGTAAATTTTCGGTTGGGCTGCGTTTACCAATATGAAAGAGTTAAATTGTAGATTTATGACATACACTAGGCGATTCAGTGAATGCAAAGTGGTCTAGCGTTCGGGATATATATCACAAAAGCCTTTTTTTTCAAGGAGCCTCAAAAGACCAGCCACTTCCAACTCACCCGAACCTAATCTAAAATGCCGCTTGTATGTACGGCTCCCGTCGATTACTTGAAAGAGCGTATTAAAGTATTTGGTGTGGGTTTCAAGCTTAAGACCTGCTTGCTTGGCTTAGATTTTTATGTTCTGCAATAGGTAAAAGTTGTTGAAGAGGAAATGCTCTTGCATAACATCAGATCCTGTTCATATCACCTGCATATTTTTTCCCTCATCTTTTTGTACAAGTGTCTTCAGGAAAAATAGTTTTGGCCATAAGTTCTTCGGCTTTTGTTTAGAAATCCGAGCTCAAAGACTCCGGAGAAGCGATATTTCATGGCACTGGAAGCTGGGCAATGCCAGAGATGGTTCTACTGACTGATACTGACACTGATCTCATTAGAGGTCCTCCTTACCTGGGTTTCCATCAGTCAGTGTCCTGTTACTATACCGGTTGCAATGGATAGAATACGTGGATATTTTATTCCCTTCCCCTTCGATTAATG